AATGATAATGGTGGTGATGATGATATTATGATAGCTACTGAAGTTTGCATGTACTTACCATAGAAAGATCCACCAGATTGTTAATGGTAGTTAATTAACCATTTGGTGAGGGAGGTTGTGCAAGAGGTAAGACTTGCTTTTTACTATATACATATTGGTGGTGCCTGACATTTTTACAAGTACATACGGCTTTATACTGTTTTAACAAAAAGAATCAAAAGTTTGTGAACCATTTGAAATCAACATCAAGAAAGTCTAAAAGCAACTCAATAAAAATTGCTTCTAATACTCAGTTACTTACGAAAATACATATACAAGCACTTAGGACAGTGCCTGATATACCGTCAGTGTTCAGTAAATATTAGCTGCAGGTAGTTGTAGTTAATGAATTGGAAATAATTATAAATTATGAATAGTTATATTTCATACATTCTATTCCACACATCCTTAGATTTTAGATGGTTTCATGTCAAATTGTAGGTTAATTTTAGATTAGTTGAAGAGTGTTCCTTGTTGATTTTAACACTCAAAGATACGATATGCAGCAGCAGCTCACCACCCTGAGACCATTGCAGATTACCTACCAAAGTCATGATTAAGAAAGTGACTTTGCAGGTTTCTTTCTCCCAAATCATATTTCTGCTGAGAGTTGCATACTTTCTTTTACAGTATTTTTCCAAAACGACTTTTAAATTTCACACAAGTTTTCTCTTATTTGAAGGCCATTTTTTGATAAAGATTTTAAAAGGTCATCAATTCAAGGGAAACTATAAATAGAGAGTGCCAAAGTTAGTTAGAGACTCGGGTATTGGGTGCTTGGCAAACTCTCAATCAGAGTGTTTTGCTTCAGAATCCTGTGCCAGAGTGGTCTCAACTCACATTTGTTTCATATCATAAACCACCCCATTGTGAGTTATTCCTGAGGAGTGAAAGTCACAAATGTGGCTTTGGAGAAATGAAATAACCTCTTCTAGTATTTAATAATGATTGATAAGTGAATATTTCTTTTAATTATGTTTTATGTGATAATATCATGTTTATTGAAATTTTTGTGGTGATATAAATATCTGGCAAATTATTAGAATGATATTAGAATGATTTTTATCCCCATGACCACATGTATACTAAAACTATATACTTTATTGTTTAGATCATTCTTTAGACTATATTTGCGTTTTTGAGTTTCAGCCCAAGTAATATTTTCCAGTTCCCTGAAATTGAATTAACTAGTTTCCGTTATGCAATGGTCAGTCTCATGTTAATGTACCTAGGCTTTGGGGGCCTTTACTGTAACGTCTTGTAAATATGACATTGTTTGTCTTAGCTAAAAATACATTTTTAGGAGGGTCATGGGGAAGTTTTGTTTCTTGATTTTTGCCTAACTTTTTTGGGTAATTTTCTTTGTTGTTCATCTCAGTTACTCACCTGTCTTAAAATTCTGTATGTTTATACACTAGTCATTGAAAGATAAGTGTAGTATTTTGAATTAAATTTTACTGCTGTATCCTGCTTGCTTGGTCCATGTTTATATATTCACACATTCAACAAAAGAGAAAGTCTCAATGGAGCGAAAGAAGCAATAAACAAAAAAAATATTGTTTAATATCTCAGAGATGATAAGTACTTTAATAAAGAAAAAACAGGACGTTGGACTAGAGTAATAGAGAAAGGGTTGCTGTATTAAATAGGATGGCCCACAAGGGCCCCTTTATCAATATAACCTGGGAACAGAGACCTAAAGGAAGTGAGAGCCTGAGCTGGGGAGATACCGGGAAGATGAGCTTTTCAAGCAGAGGGAGCAGCAAGTGTTCAAGTTCCAACATGGGAACACTCTTGGCGTAGCCAGGAGAATACAAGGAGATCAGTATGACGAGAGCAGAGTGAGCTAGGGAGAAAGGGGATGGTCTGAGAAGCTTTAGGGCCCCATCACATAGGGTTTTGAAGGACAGTTGTGAGCATATGGGAGAGGTGGTTTATGACTGGAAAGGATCACTCTGGGTGCATGTAGGCAGTAATGAAAATGTGGAGATCAGTGACTGTAAAATTTCTGGATGAAGACCACCCCAGCCCCAGCAGGAAATACATTTTGCAGCATTACTCAATTCACTTTATTCTCCTGTCACATACAAGAGTGGGAATGTTCTCTCTGACTTCATTTCCTTGTGGTGGGCTGAGTAGAGAAGAACCGTTGTTCTAACTTGAATATAACACAAGGAACAGCTGTTGCTCAAGAAATGCTGCCTAAGTGACATGTTATCAATGCAGCAAATAGGGGAGACTGACATTACCATTTCCAGAAGGCTCAGCACACAGGAACCCTTCCTCTGAACACTCCCTCCCCAATTTTGGAGGAATTCAAGACTTTCCTATAGGATCAGGTCAAGACTAGAATAGTCTTAAAAACTCTAATGAATCCTTCCCTTCAGTCCTTTGATAACTTGGGGGTTGGGGGCAAGTAATGCTTATCTCACCATCCTTGATCTTGACAGCCCCCAAATCGAGAAGAGTAGTCCAGGGGTGTGGTGGGCTCTGGAAACCCTCAGCAGAGATAGGCTCACTGCAACCAAACCCACTAAAAGAAATAAACAAGTTAACAAGAAGCCCAGCAATAAAAACGTGCCATAAGACCTTCCCTGTTCAGAATCCTTTCAGGTACTGTTTAGAAATATCAGTCCAGTAGTAAATTGCAAAGAATGAAAAATGCAGACCTGTAATATATGGTCCTTTCAGGCAGACTGCAGATTTGATACCAAGAATAGATTTGATCTCTTTCCTCTCATAAATAATGGTGTTTACAGGTGATACAGAAGGGTGAGGTTGCTATCAAAGCATAGACAATGGTCGGTGTAATGGAAACTCTTTAGATACTAGTTAGACTAAGAAAAATTTTGTCAACGTAAATATATTTTACCAGTGGTTGTTTTGAAGAGGATTATTTTGAGGGGCAATTTATATTCACATTTTGCAAAAGGACTTTGGCAGTATAGCTGTTCATCTGTGCAAAGCTTAATAACAGATTTTTTTAAAAATAGCTCTGGAAATTTACTTTCCAGTGGCTATTAAACTGCACAGAATAAATATGTTAAAACAGTTGTTAGATATTATATTCCATGTTATTCTAAGGATATAAATTGTGTGTGCTTATGTGTATGTGGCTGTAGATGTAAATATAGGATATAAGCATAGATACAGACATATAGTGATGCCCAATGCTTAGACCAACGTAATTAATGAAAAGCAAAATAGTAAACTTTTAAAAACTCAATCTTTTTTTTTTTTTTTTTTTTTTTAGTATAAAAACATTAGATTTTGAATGCTGATTTCTATCTTCTCTATTGAGGTAGAAATGATGCTTTAATGGGAAAAACTTTGAGAAACTAATGTCTTACCACTTAACCAGGGGGAAGCTTTATGTGCCAGGAGCCTTCAGTAGCCTTCCTTCCCTCAAGCCCATATACAAGAGGACACCCCGGACCCGCGTCCAGCAAAGCCCCGCAGGGCATGCTGAGGCAGTGCCCCCCACGGGGCCGAGAAGGACGCGGTCACCTTCCCCTAGGAGAAAGGGCGTCAGTGGCTGAGGCCAGGGCGGGGACACAAGTACTGCCGAACCCATTACTTAGTCACAAGTAACAAACACAAAGTTGAAAAACGTAGTCGTTTTCCAGATTTATGGAATATGTATGAGCGTTGTAATGTCTAATACTATAAAAGCACAGTGGCTTTGTCAGAATGTGCCTGGCCTCAAATGCCCCCTTCAAACAGCCGCCTCCGTCTCGGCTCCCTCGCCGAGCCTCAGAGCCAGCCCGAGGCCCAGGGGTGTTTTACTCTCCACCAACCTCCAGCAAGCGTTAGAGGATGCTATTTCTTTTTCATCATCTCTTTTACTTCCCTAGTCTGTGTCTTTAAACATGGTAACAGAGAAGTTACCAAAGTTTACAGGTAGTGTGGAACCAAAGATAAAAAAGGTAAGGAGTGGATAGAATTGATGCACGGGCCTCCTAAGTCTTTAGGGTTGGCCACTTGTTCATCCGGGCAACTCTCGCTGAGACAGGAGGACCAGATCATGGGAAAGTGCATTCAAAACTCTTTGAGGGTACAAAAATCATACCGTATTTACACTCTAATAGTTTTTAATTCTTACCTTCCCACACTCATGCTATATGGCAATGAAATCATTATGACAAAGCATAGATGGCAATGAAATCATTATGACAAAGCATAGATCCAAAATTCAAATACAATCCAGTCATGAAAATTAATCTAGAAAAAAGAAAAATAAACAAATAAAAGTAAGTCAACCTCTTATAACCTTCAAACCATCCTCCCTAAATTTCATTTTTACACAATGCCAGATAACACTGAATATGCTTATTTATACTACCTGTAGTCACACTGTCATTTAGATAAACTGATAAATGTGGAAAATCTAGGGAATTTGCCAGATAGCTTTTTTTCTGTTGGAGAACTTTTTCATTTCATTCTAAATTTTTTATGTGAACTTAAGCATAACATTTATGTAACTTTTATATGATTGCTCTGCTAGAAAGTATATTTCACTCCTTAATACTATAATAAACCATTAGGACATAATTAGATCAAATATGTAAGCCTTTTCATTTTTTCCATTTCTGTTCAAATAAAAAGATTTACATAATAGTGACTGTAGCAAAACTGAGTTTTTATATTTAACCTTTTTTCGTATTTATTTTAGTCTTATTTCTTTGTTTAAAACTTAAGAGTATTTTTATTATGAAGTTGTTTTCCATTGAAAATAATTATTAACAGCCCTTAGTGGCATTCCGCATCATTTTTCTTTTGGTTGATTTTAAGAATTACTAAAATGAACTATTTTTGAAAAAATCTCAATACAGCAACTATAGATACACATATTTTAAAGTATATATCAGAGCTGGCTTTAACCTTTGAAAGGTGTTGCTCTCCACTTCCACGTGCAGGTCATCTCGCCTGATTTGTTGTTGTTGTTAAACTGTTCAATTCAGGTTCTACATGGTCAGCTACTATGAGCGGAGTCACAGGATAGCAGTGGGCGCCCGCAATGGTTCAGTGGCCCTGTACGACATCCGGACTGCAAAGTGTCAGGTAAGTAAATCACGGCGACTTCCTCTCCATGGAGCATGGGAGCCGCTGGAAGGAGGGAGAGACTAGCTCTTCCCCAGCTGACCAGGACATTATGGCTCATGCTGGAGGCATCGGCAGCTCAGTGTGGGACTCGAGGGGTGCAGAGCCCCCTGCCTTTAGTCAGCGGGGCTGCAGGGCCGCCGCAGGAGTTCGCAGCAGAGCCCCAGGGAAGGTGGTGCTGCTCACACTCCACTGGGCAATATGTCTTTTCTTCTCTAAACAGTTTTCTGATTTCACTACTTATTTTTGCCATGTGTTTTCTGAAAACAAGTTTGATGATACATTATTATAGTTAATGGCTAAGTAAAAATTTTCTGACTGGGTAAAATGAGTTATTTAGCACAGTTCGAGAAAAGAAGTCACAATTGCATTTAGTGTGGTGCCCTAGGAAGGAAACTGCTGCTCCATTTTAAATAAGATATTACTTTATGTACTTTTAGAACTCTCTTATTGCTTTAGAATACTTTATGAAAAAGTCTTGATTTTGATCTTCATCTTGATCTCTTGATTCTCAAAATGGACCAGTTGTGTGGACAAAGCAAGTCCAGCCCCACTTTAGGTATAAGTGAATCAAAGCTCTGAGAGTAAATCTCTATCCCAGAGCCACGCCCTTAGTTAATGGCAGAAGCAGGGCAAGGCCCCGCTGTGGTCTTGGTGAATTTACAGTGCTCACTGACAAGTAGTTCCAAGTCATAACTTCTGTGTTTCATTGTAGCACTTGTCAATGCTGATATGTTCAACCATATTAGGAATTATATTTAACTGTATTAGATTGACACAGACAGCGGTATTACGAATTTCCTGAAGAAATATGAAGAAATTCATAAAGATGTGGCTAAAATTTTGAACCGTCTCTTAAATTTAATATACTATTAATTAATTCTCCGAAAATTTCCCTGGCCTCTGTCCATGCAGTGGTTCTCGCAGGTGGTAACAGGTGTCGGGGGTAGAAGTTTCAGGGGTCAGGCAAGTTAGGCAGGTACTGTGTGAGTTTCTCTTTGCAGGCCTTCTGAGAGTCTAACGCGTGGTGTGCTCGTGCACAGACACGTTTCCCAGGAGTGCACAGACTGTGCGCCATTGGCCATACTTACTTGACAATTAAAGTTCATTTGTGTGTTTTTAAGACATTAAGTCCTCATTGGTGAACATATTTCTTTACTTTGAACTCTCATTTTGGGCAATGAAACCACTCTGAATACTTGCTTAAAAAATTAAATTAATGTTGTTTATAATATTTTCTCCTAAGAGAGACAGTTTTTAAAAATTGGAGTATATTATTACTAGCAGACTTGAGAGAAATAAACCACAAGCATCTACAAGGTATAGAACAGATAACAACAAGGGACCTTTTCAAGCTTCCTTAAAATCGAAGTGTGGAAATCCTAGAGGACTCTGTTATTGGGCAAGACATGGTTGCCATCAGCAGAGGGAACAGTGAGGCCCTGTGAGCAAAGAGGAGTGAAGGGAGCTAGTAAGAGTTAATGAGAAAGTACAGACTGTGCTCAACTATACATTTCTTTACCGTTTTCTTCCTCGTAAGGGATCTCGGTGAAAGTCTTAGTAAAATGCAAAAAGCATGAGTCAGTTGAATATCTTATAATTTTTTAGTTACTTGAGATGCACTTATCAATCAGACATTCTTTGTTAACAGGAATTTGTAATGCCAATAACATTCCACTTCATTTTCTGATCATGATTTTAGTACATTTGGACATTTTAGTGTCCCCGTGATGTTTTTTCTACCTCAGCTTCTTGATTTTGATGCCCAAAGTTATCATTAGTTAACACTAGTTATATGACTGAATAATCTTGACCTTCCAGGTTCGTGTGAAACTGAAGGTTACCCTTTTCTCTCAGTATTCAGAACGTGGAAACAAAACTAAATCTCTAAAACCAACCTTACCTACAGCCAATTACCAATTACATCCAGTGACAATAGCTCTTAAGTGACAATGATTCTCAGTTCTTTTATGGTTTTAGTGTTGTAATATTTGAAATAAATGGGGCAAGAATTGAAACAAAATACACAAGTATAGTTGGCATGTTCAGAAGTGATGTTTTAGAGGTGAGTCAGGGATTAAGGGTTTTGAACTAGGAATGCAGTAAAGCATTTCCTGAATTAGACATTGGGCTCAGTTAGCAGAGAGAGTGGGGCATTTTTCCTAGCATGAGAAAAGCGTGGAGATATGCCATAAAAAATGTAGAAGGTAAATTCACTGAACTTTAGGAATAGGTTTCCAGTTAGGTGGGGAGGTAAGACTCAACCACCTAGATGGGGAGTCAGGGCTGATGGAGAAATTGGCTGTGGCCTGTCCAGGATGCCAGAGGCTGAGCGGATACCCATGGGCTCAGTGGAAGCAGAGAACCGGTGGCTGAGGGGCTGAGAGGCTGAGGGGCTGAGGGGAGGGTCCTGTAGGTGCCTGTTATCATTAGATTGGTTGGTAGAGGACAGAAGAGAAAAATTAAACCCCTTTCCCTTACCTTTTGGCATTGGCTTCTGCCCCTCCCACCCCCATTTCAAAATTATTTTCTTTTAACCTGTTCTTTCTAAACAAGAATAGGAGACTATGCAAAGCCACAGGACAAATACACAGATCTGTCTGGAGCATGAATTTTACTTATATCAAGGATTCTCAGACTGTTGCCCAAATCTGCCTGCCGCCTGTTGTAGTAACACAAGCTTTACTGGAGGACAGCCCCACTGACTCACTTAAGGGTGTCTGTACTGCTTGCTCACTACAGTGGCAGAACCGAGCCGTCGTGGCCCCAACTGTCCCCAAAGCCTAAAATAGTTACTGTATGGCCCTTTACAGAAAAAGTTTGCTGATGGTTGGCATAGATAATTGAGGAAGTAGAGTTAACTAATTTAACCAAAAAGTGATTTCCAACAGTAGAGTGTAATATATAGAGATGAATAATTAGAAACTTGTGTGGCTTGAATTCCATCTTCACCACTTACTAATTTTATAACCTTGGGGAAGTTTTTTAACTTCTGAGCTGAAGTTCCCTCACTGTAAAATGGGGATAGAAAAAGTGCCTGTTATTGTGAGAAGTAAATAAGATAATTTATTTAAAATTCTGAGCACAAGGCCTGCCCAGTAGTTAATATTCAGTAAATGATGGTTATTAGTGTATTAAAATAAACTCGGCAATACATTACATTGCAATTAAATGACATTAATTTGAGAGAATTTTAAAGCTAAAACTTGAGACATCAAGGTGTTTACGGGCTCTCAGGGCTTTAAGTTCTCTCGCCTAGTTAGGAGCACTGTGGAGAGGTAAGCAGCCCGCCTGGGGCCATGTGTAGATTTCCTGTGTCAAGGCGGCTCTTTCCTGTGGTGTTGGGCTGAATCTCTACTGATTATGGAAATCAGAAACTTTGATGCAGTTCAAGAGTAAAAACTCTGCTCTGCTCCTGGCTGCATTTTCACTTGGCAACTGCTAGCAATTTTAGAATATACCTGACTTGAATTTTGCTTGATTAAAAAAAAAAAAGAGTAACTCCCTATGAAGTGCTTAACTTTTGTTGTAGACAGTGCTCTTGATAAGCAGTCTAATTAAGTTCCAGGAATCCTTAGAGCTACAGGTATTAGTTTGGTTAAACCAGCAATGGAAATCCTCCCTCTGGCAACATCTGCCTCTGGTTTGGCAGACCTGACATTCTCTCTCACTGATTTCCAATCCTTTCTGAACGTACTCTGTGTGATAAACAGCTGCTGGCTCTGTGCAGGGTTCTCCCCTGTTAGCTCACTTTCCTTACGAAGTGCGTACTGTCTCACTTGGAGGCAGCTGATTCATTTGGTAAATCTAGGCACTTATGTTCTTATTTTTGGCATAAGACTACAAAAAAGGCAGCGATGTATGAGAGAAGGAGTATGGCTGATATCTTAACCTAAATGTTAAATTATTCAAAGAACTTCATAATTAAAATTTTTAAGTAAGTTCCTTAAAGAACTCATTTTTAAAGCTCCATATTTTCTAGTTCCTGGTGCATAGAAAATGCACAGTAAAATACATGTTGACCAACAAACATAAGAAAACTAAGTGTGCCTTAATCATATCAGAAATATATTTGTAATTTGGGTATAGTTATATTTTGGTATGTCACAAACACCTCATCAAAGTGTTGTTTGTCTATAAGGGGTATCTTTTCAGAAACAGCATAGAGAGCTTCTTTCTATGAGTCATGAAAGATACACCTATATCCTGTAGAGGACCATGGCCGTGCCTGCCCTAGGCCAGATAATGGAAACAATAGAAGCGAAGGTTGACTGTATGTATAGAACTGTGGCCACTAAGATCTGGCTATAATCCCATAAAGAGCAGAAGGTAGATTCTGGAATGCTGACTTGTGCCCATCACACAGCCTGGTGCTGGAAAAGCAATGGGCCTGAAGTTTGAGCTTCTCTGGCCTCACGGATTCCTTACTCCCTGCGAGACAGACGCATTGAACTTGAGATCGCCTCATGAGGAAAGGAGGCCACAAGGTACTTCATCGGCCGACTTCCCCTCGCCTCCTGAATGCCCTCTGTCCTGCTCCTGCGCTGATTCGGTGGCACTGAAGTGAGAGCGACCCTGAACCCTGTCCAAGCCCATTCGCACAGTGTTTAAACCTCCGTTTATCCCATCGCTGGCCAGCCTGGCTCACCTTCATCTTCCAGTCAACAAGACTTGCCTGACTGGTCAGTCACGTTGTTATATTCCGGCCTCTGCCAGGCCTCTAGCTACACTAATGAGACAGAAGAAAAAGACAACTCCCTGAACACAAATATGGAGGCTGAGGGAGGTGAACTCATTGTTTTCCTCTCAAGCTCCTCTTCCCTCGTTCCAGTTTGTCCTCAGCTGCAGATTTTGAGAATTAGATTTACTTAGGAATTGCACAAATCTTATGTGAAAAATAGTTATTGCAATAGATAAGTAGAGACACCTCTTATCTGTGACTTGGGAAATACTAAGCCAGC